GCAGACAACTCAAAGGATCGCCGTGTTCTAGAAGGCCGTATTTCAGTTTGGACTTCATCGTGTAAGGTGGGAGTGGGCACTGGGCAATTCTAGACAGGGAAATGGCACAATCAAATCCCACGTTTTCAAGCTCACTCTGGGGGCTCTGGAAGATGCAGTGAAGTCCAGCAGGAGGACTGCAGTGGCCCAGGGAAGACACCAGAGTCTGGACGAAGGCAGTGGTGATGGGGAGGAGGAACAAGAGATATTTTCAGGGGTTCGCACAGTGGCCTGTACCAGGTTATCAGAGGTGAGGGGAAGACAGAGTACATGAAGCAAAGACCACGTATGTAACTTCTCACAACCTCGTACTGTCTGTGAAATGACTGGAATGCAGAGGACTCACGTGGCTGATGACGATGGAATATCCCCTCTATTTCCTTACCTTGGCCGCAGAGTTAGACACTCCATGGGTAACGTTTCGGATAAGGCCCCCGACGTTTCCATACTTGATCAGTCCTGTGACCCCTTCAGAAACGTCATTCAAAAGCCCCATGGGATTGCCAAGGAAGTCCACCGAGCCCAGGATCCGCGCTGCCTGGCTGAGGAGTTCCTGTCACGTGGAGGAGGGAAACAAGAAGAAGATCAGCCCGTTTTCACTGCAGACAGTGTCCCAGGCACAGAGGCTGACATCAGCCTAGTCCTCCATGCCCATCAACACCAACAGCCACCTTTCCATCCTCACCAACTACAAGCTCCTGCCCATTCACAAGCTCCACCTGAACTTCTCTCAAATGCACACATCCCAGTGGGTGCCTCCAATAATCATACATTTTCCGTAAAAATATTCCTCAAAGCCATTCCGAAGAAGAAAAAAGGTATGAAGCAGGAAAGATTCTTTACACATAATTACATTAGTGTGTACTTGATATTCCCCTTCCCGTTGTTCCCACAAATAGGGAACTAATCAGCAGCAGAGAGAATGTGAAAAGTGAGGGAGGAGGGAAGATCTGGGGTCCCTCATGATCCAGGCCCCAAGAGGACACGTTCAGACCTATCAAGAGCCCCTCCATTTTCTGTGCACCTCCACTGCCTGGGTCCTGGTTGAGGACACCTCCCCTATCACGCTCCTTACAGCTCAGTGGAATTATCACCAATTAGGAAGAGCAAGGGAGGAAACAGGAGGAGAGGAGGGAAATGGGGAGGAGGAGGGAAGAAAGCAAGAAAAGGGTATTTTTTGACTGTGACTGAGAATACATTTGATATGACCGTGACCTATCTATTCCTTGAGGATTATGCCTTGGCTTTATGTTTTGGTCTTTGCAGCCTAGATAATAAGTACAATTAGAAAATGAACAACTTGATAAAAAACTTTTTTTTTTTAAGTTCAACTCTAGGGCAGGATCTCACAGGCTCTAATCCCATTGGAGTGGTTGCTGAAAGGAGGCCCATGCCTGGTAAATAAAGAGTTCACAGCATTTTGTGTTATCATCGAAGCATCAGCTAAAGTCTTGAGAGTTGTGACTAATCTTGTGGAAACCTCTGAGGCTAGTTCTGAAGGACCAGACTCCCGGTTCATAAATCAAATTCGCTGTTTTGGGGTTTTCATGATGTGTACAGGCTTCCTGGGGTATGACCTGACCCCTGACTCAACAATCTCAGTTGAAATGTGGGTTCTCAATAGGAAGGTCTTAGTAGCCAAAGTTCCCAAACAGCTAAAACAAACATCCTGCTTATGCTGCAGCCACGAGACCCCTCTCCAAAGCTCACCTCCTGGAAATGTTTGAGGATGTCATTGATGATGAACTCCTTGGTCTCATAGGGATGGACCCGAGTGAATGGATCCAGATTAATCACAGCATCTTCGAACCGAATCAATGGGAATCCCAAGGTGCTCTTTAGAGCCTAGTTAGGGGAGAAAGAAAAGGACACAGTTAGGCTGTATGACGGCCTTCCAGGGTACTTAATTCTGGAAGGTACTTAGCCCATGAGAGTTACAAGTCATGTCAACTTTCCCAAGGGAGTAGGGTTCTGATATTTATTTATGAGCAAGGGATTTCCCTGTAATTATAAAAGTAAAATATGAGGGGAAAATATACAATATATGTATCACCCAAAGTAACATGTATCGCAGCATAATTCTTTCTGATGTTTTGTGTCTGTCTGTTTGTCATGTTTTACTTTTTGACTGAAGTATACCACACATACAGAAAGGTGTACTGATCAAATGTATACAACGACTCTCCCGAAGTGAACACAACCGTGGAACCATCCACAGTAGAAAATGGATTATCATCTCCAGCCTAGAAGCACCCATCCCCATCTTCAGACTGCCAGTCACTACTCCCTCTGCCCCTAAGTCACCAGTAATCTAACTTCTATCACAGCAGATTAGTTTTTCCTGCTCTGAATCTTATATAAATAAAACCATAGGCCTGTACATTGTTATAGATGGCTTCTCACAGTCAACATTGAGTTTGTGAGATTCACAAGATTGCTGCACATAGCTGCACTTCATTTTTATTCTGCACTGTATTCTAATGTATGACTAGAACACTATTTAATCATTGCTGTTGATGAACAGTTGTGTTGCCTCAAATTTTTTGCTATTATGAATAATTCTGCTATGAGCCTACTTGAATATGTCTTTTGGGGCACATTTGTATCCATTTTTCTTGATATATACCTGGGAGCAGAATGGCTGGGTCATAAAGAATGTATAAAACAAACACACAAAACAGAAACAGACTCAGAGATACAGAAAACAGACTGACAGCTGTTAGAGAGAAAGGGTATGGGGGCTGGGTGAAAAAGTTGATGGAAATAAGCAAAACCAACCAACCAAACAACAAAAATCAGACACAGACAGCAGTATGGTGATTACCAGGAAAGAGGGGTAGGGAAATAGAAGAGGATAAAGCGGGATAAATGGTGACAGAAGGAAAATGACTTGGGGAGGTGAACACACAATCTATACTAATAAAAAGATAGGTGGCCCTCACGTGCCACGTCGCCACAAGATGGCTTCATGCACAGCCCAGGTGGGCCCCAGTGGCTGCTCCGCATGGTGAGGCCTGGGGGGGTCCCACGGCTCCACACAGTGCAGAGGAAGCTGGTCCCAGCGGAAGAGGCGGATTGTGGCAGGGGAGGGCAGTTGGGGGTGATCAGGCTGGCAAGAAGAAGTGGTTAGGGCCAATTAGGCAGGCAGGCAGGTGAGTGGTCAGGGCCAGCAGTCCCAGATTGTGAGAGAGATGTTCAACTGCTGGTTTAGGCCACTACCCGCAGGATCACTAGTATAATATACAGATGATGTATTATAGAATTGTACATTTGAAGCTTATATAATTTTATTAACCAACTAGTGGCCTGGTGCACAAAATTCGTGTATGGGGGGTGGGGAGGGGAAGATGTTCCCTCAACCCAGCCTGCACTCTCTCCAATCGAGGACCTTTTGGGGCATGTCTAATTGCCAATCTACGCTCCTGATACTGTGGGATTGGGCCTAAACTGGCAGTTGGACATCTCTCTCACAATTTGGGACTGCTGGATCCTAACCACTCACCTGCCTGCCTGCCTGATCGCCCCTAACTGCCCTCCCCTGCAGGCCTGATCTCGCCCCCAACTGCCTCCCCTGCAGGCCTGATCTCGCCTCCAACTGCCTCTCCTGCCAGCCTGATCTTGCCCCCAAGTGCCCTCTCTGTCTCGGCCCCCACCACCATGGCTTTGTCTGGAAGGAAGTTGGACGTCCAGAGGATGGCCGGTCGACCTGGTCTAATTAGCATATTACCCTTTTATTAGTATAGATAGATTATGTAGGATAGGATTGCTTAAATGGGGGTGGGGAGCCTTTTTCAGCAGGAAGAGATGCTCTTGGTAGACAAAAATACATTTGGACTGATAGCCAGCCATATGCACTATGCTGCCAAACCGGTCATTAAAAAATTGAACCACTTTCTTACACCTTACACCAAACAGCTGTTGCCCTTAAAACCCCTCCTCAGCCCCCACCTTAGGTTCTGTCTTCCCAGTTCACCCAGATTAGGTTCTGATTGGTCGGTTTCTATGCCAGTCAGTGTCAAAAGCTCCACTTCCTAGGCAGCCATTGGCTCCTTGTTCTTCACCCAGATTTGGTTCTGATTGGTCAGTTTCTATGCCAGTCAGCATCTCCAGGCCTATCTCCAGGCCTGTAGAGAAGCGGGGCTGATCAGCAGGGCCCCACCCCCAAAGGCCCGTAGAGAAAGAGAGAGGCAAGGGCTGATCAACAGCTGCCACGGAGGCTATGGATCAGATCCTGCTTCTCTGTCCAGACCTCTTTCCAGGCCTGATCCACAGCCCCTTCAGCAGTCAGTGCTGGGTCACCATAGCAACCCAGCACTGACTGCAGGACTGACTTCCAGTAGGTTGAGCCTTCGGTCGTTACAGACCCTGGGTTTTTATATATTAGGATGTCACCCCAATAAATTCAATAAAAAGTTTAAAGATATAAAATAAAATACCCCCTAATAAAGAATGTACACGTTCAATCTTAGTATACACTACCATGTATTTCCAAAGCACTTGAACTGCTTTACAATGAAATTTGTCTATGAAATTTCTTATTCTACATCCTCATCAATACTTGATACAGAAAGGTTTTTTAAAAAAAAAATATTCTGAAGGGTGTACAATGGTATCTCAGTGTGGTTTTAATTTCCATTTTCCTCTTGAGGAATAAGATTAATTTTCTTTTAATATGCACACTGGCTATTTGGATATCCTTTTTAAAAAATATCTATTCAAGTCTTTTGCTCATTTTTATAGCGAGTTATCTGTTTTTTCTTTGCTTTGTAGGAGTTTTCTTATACATTCTGTATACAAATAGTCTGCTGATTAGATATATTATAAATATCTTCTCCCATTCGGTAATTTGTCTTATTACTTTTGATAGTTTTGTGATGGTCACAAAACTTATTTTTTCTTAATGAGGAGCAAATTATTACAAAGTATTAGAATGGAATAAGATTACTTCATTGAACAGAAACTGCAATCAGAATTCTAACATGTTATCCCTGTCACACTAACAAAACATCAGCATAACAATTCAAATCATCTGACATTCTTAGTTTTAATGAAATCTTTGTGTCCGGATTATTATCCACACCAATTCATAAAAGTATTCCCATATGTTTACTTATAAAATTTTTACTATTTTACTCTTCACATTTAAACCTAAAATCTACCTGAACTTGATTTTTATATATTGTGTGAAGTAGAGCTCAAGATCCATTTTTCCCCTCAAATGATTATTAATTGACTAAGTAACAATTATTGAAAAGATCATTCTTCCCCCTACTGCAGTACAGTGCAAACTCTGCCTCAGTCAAGTGACTGAACTTACATATCTGTTTCTGTATTCTCTTTTCTGATTCATTTTCTCCTGCCTTCTGTCAATACCACACTGTCCTAATTACTGCAATTTTATAACAATCTTTGAAATCTAATAGTGTAGATTTTCCAACTTTATTCTTTTTCTTCGGTGTTACCTTGGTTACTCTGTACTTTTTATTTACAAATAAATTTCAGAATCAACCTGTTAATCTGCCACATAAAAATTGCTGGAATCTTCAACAAGATTGACTAAAATCCAAAGATCATTTTTAGGAGTAATGACAATTTTACAATACTGAATCTTCTAATATCCCTTTTAACTATTTAAAATTTCTTTCAATAATGTTTGTTTTCTGGGTATATTCTTTGTTGGATTTATTCCTAGATATCTGTGGTAGATTAAAAACGACTTTATATCTAGCCAGTTTGCCTCAGTGGACAGAACATCAGCCTGCAGACTGAAGGGTCCCGGGTTCAATTCCAGTCAAGGGCACATATTCAGGTTGCGTGCTTGATCCTCAGTATGGGGCATGCAGGAGGCAGCCGATCAATGATTCTCTCTTATCACTGATGTTTCTATCTCCCTCTCTTCCTCTCTGAAATCAATAAAAATACATATTTCTTAACAATGACCATAAATTCTTTGCATTTGCTGCGATTAGTGAAATTTATTTCCCTTCCACTTGAATCTACACCGACCTTGTACTTTACTTCAACCAATAAGATGCAAAAGAAGTAACACTGTATGACATCTGAGCCTAGGCCTCAAGAGATAGTGGAGTTTCTTCTCTATGTTTTTTGATGCTGCCACCATGTGAAGAAGCTGAGGCTGGCTTCCTTGAGGATGAGTGACCATGTGGAAGGTGGTTCTGTTGACAGCCAAAACCAACCACCTGATATGTGACTAAGTCATCTTATATCATTCAGTCCCAGTTGACCACCAGATGACTTCAGCCACATGAAAAACCACAGGTGAGAGCAACAGAAGCACCACTCAGCTAGCATAGTCCTACTTGCTGACCCACACAATTATGAACAACAACAAAAAATGGTTGTCTTAAGCCACTAAGTTTTGGGTGATTTATTACACAGTAATAGATAATGATTCTGTATTTGATATTTTCTTCACACTATGATAAATACATTCTTCGAATTTCCCTTTTCTCAGTAATTGGTGCTGACATGTAGGATGCAATTGGTTTTCCTGGCTCTGTTTCTAGTGTCTGTTTCTTCTCTTGGTAGGCCTGTTCATTTGTGATTGACTGTAACATTTTGTATGGAAACTTATAGAGACTTAGGATGAGTATTTAGCTTCTGGCAGGCAGTTAAAGGGGCTTTGTGCCTCCTTAAATCAGGACTTGTGCTTTATCGAGACTAGATTTCAGTCTTCATAAAGGCCTGGTATAGTTCTTCAGTGATCTAAACTGAAAACCAATTCTATTCCTCCATTTTTACTCTCTCTAGCACAACTGCTAAAAGGTCTACTTAGCTCTTCAATCTCTTGGCTGTCACTTTTTGCTTGGCTTCTGTCCGACTAGGTTACTTTGAAATTGGCATCTACCTCAAGAAGTAAAGCAGCTCAGGTTATTGGGGTCTCTTCTGTGCCTCTTCCTTCTCTATAACATATTAGCCCCTCAATTACCAGCTCTCTTAGTAGCAATGAAGTCCAACTTTTGCTCTGCCAGCCTCAGGAAACTGCCAAAAGCTTTACTCGGATTCTCTGCATGTTGGCAGCTGCTTTCTGCCTAACTTCCCTACCTTTCTCCCCACACCACTTACAAATTAGAATGTCTTAAGGATAAAAGCAGAGTAAACGTTGTGCTCACCTTATCGAGTTTCCCTCCTCTCATAAATCTTGGACCCTCGAGTCCTGGCAAACTTGGTAGCTTTCCAATACCTTCAAACAGACTTTGCTTTTTTGTATGTTTTTTAAAAACATCTAGCTTTTCTTGTAGTTCTCAGCTGGTCTGGGTCTGCTATAAACCAGTTAATAATTTTCAGATGTAGTCTATTTTCCAATTTATATTTTTGTTCAACATGATTGATATTTCAAGGATTTTAGAGAGCATCCCAAATTCTGTTTTTTGAATGTGAAAACACTTGCTCACGCTAATAATAGTACACCTCTGAGCCACTTAGAAGTTATCCTTTTGTAGAATGTGAACAATAAATCTAATTTTGTGTTTTTCTATATGGCTATCTAGATAGTCTAATAGCACTTATTAAGACACTTCTATGTTTCCCACTGAGTTAACATGTCTTTTTGAAGTAAAATCTCATGTGAAATTTAATGGACTTTCTATTTTATTTTCTCATTTATTTTTTAATCTTTTAGCATGTATTTTCTTTTAACAGGAGTATGTTCATAATTGAAATGACACCACAAAATTGAAGATGACAATGTCTAAAACCAGAGTGGGGAAACTTCTTTGTGACTCAAAATTCAGATTCAAAGAGGCAAAAAACTGATAAATGTGACAACATAAAAACAGAAAGCTTTTGTATGATTTACAAACACCAAGAGCAAAGTAAAAAACAAACAAATGAAAAATCAAAGGAAAAAAATAGTTGCAACTTATATTAAATACAGAACTTACATAAAGAGTTTCTAAGTCAGATAAAAGACCAATTATATGATTTTAAAAAATGAACTAGTGATCTAACCAAACAGGTTAGTTCAGAGGAAAAAAAAAGGGGGGGCCTTTAACATGTAAATTAGGAGAAGGAAGAGTAGAATAAAATAAAATTGTGAAAAAGACAGAGAAGCAACAAATAGGAGAGTAAGAAGAGAGCAGAGAGGACTGATGTCAAGAGGCAGCAATATCAAAGTCGGCCGAGGACCCAACAAAGAAGGGGAAAAGCTACTGTATTTGGTGCTTTTACTAAAAATTGGAGAACAAAACATTTTAGAGATTAAGAGCATCCTCAAATTAATTCAAGCTAAGACTCTCCTTTTTGTTTTAAGTAAAACTAAAGAAATGCTAAGAGGATGATCAAAACTGATGGAGATGGTTATCAGTAGGTCTCAGGCTTGAACATGCTAATTTTCACAACAGGAGACCAGAATGGAGGATTATATTATCTCTCCTGGAAAACTTTCCGCAGTGCATTCCTGCATGTCTCAAACATCCATGGGTGAGTGGTGATGAAGTAATAAGCAGGCATTATCTTCCTCATTTCCTTGACAGGGAAACTGAGGTCCTGAAGGCTTAACTGTTTTGCTTTGAGCAACACAGTGAAGCCAGGTACTGACAGCAGCTCAGAGTTTGTTTTGTCAACACAGCTCAGAGCACTGCTTTCTTCTCGGAGAAGAGGAAATGAGATCAAAACAAAGGCTTAAGGCAAAAAGCTTTTACCCCAACTTCCTCATTGCAACCAAACATTTGAAAAGGAGGAACCACACCAAGTAGCAAAGACTCTGGAACCTGTACTAAGTTGTCAAAACCCTCACCCACCGGGAGACACTAGCCCCTTTCTGAATGGCTGTTGTGCTTTGTCTGAACCAAGGAAATACTAGTATTCTGGCCTTCAATAAAATGACCTGCCCTTGTCATTGACTGCTCTGGGGCCTCCAGTATTGGAAAAAGCTGCCATACAGCCATTGGAGTGAGTAATCCTGCCACCTTCAGGCTGTTCTGGTCGGAAGTAGAAGGGACGAGAGGGAAAGAGTCAAACTGGGCTTTTTCTTAAGAGTAACCAGAGGACTAATCACATACAGTAGTATACAAAGTTGATGCTCATTTACTCAAGTAGCAGTTTCCTGTTATAAAATGGATTCTGGGGAAAACAATCTGTGCTCATAAGTTCCTAATAAAAATAGGAAAGTGTCGACTCATACCTCCGCCAGACCCAAACTGCTGAAATCTTCCAGAAACGTTATAGAGCTGAGAGGAGAAATACCTGTCCAAACGCCATAAGGTCTCAGATCGCAAGCCAGCCCCTGGGCCACGTCCTTTCCTCTCTCAGTTTATCCTGCACTAAACAAAACTGTCTGGAATTCATTCTTTAAAGGTTTATTTATGGTGCATAGAGACTGTTTATGTGAAGCAGGGTATCTGCCCATTTCCCTCTTGGGACGGTGTTTAAAACTACAGGGATCTTTCCCTCTCTGGCACTTTCTGAAATACAATTAACAATACTGGATCTTTTTTCCTTTAACAAATCTGGTTTTTATTTAGGAAGGGGAGGAAAAAAGTAAAGGGTCTGAAGTTTCCCAACAAATTATTTCAAGCCTTTGAGAAGACAGTTTTAGGCTTTTTAAATAGTGTCTTTGTTTGAAATCCCCCCTCACCCCCACCTCTTGCTCTCTGACCATTAAAATGTGGGTTTTCTTCCAAACTAGATTGCTCAATTAAAGCCCTTCTTTTGTAATACCCCCATGCTCTAAATGGGAAAAGAACTGCTGTAGGCCACCTTGTGAAACCTTTTAAAGGCTCCTGGCTCCTTTTGATCTTTAAAAAAGAGAGAGAGAGAGAGAGAGAGAGAGAGAGAGAGAGAGAGAGAGAGAGAGAGAGAGAGAGAGAGAGAATGAATATGAATATATAAGCTACCTGGCATTCTCCATATTAGCCGGCTACGCTAACTTGCAGACTTGGGAGAATAATGGGGAGACTGGGGGTGGAGATGCTGTGCTTTCCTCTCCGCATTTGTGAAATGGAACTTATTACCTCCCCCTTCTCCCATCACAGAGGAAGGAATCCAATTGAGATAGCAGATGTGAAAGTGCT